GGGCGAGCGCGCTACTGCTTGAGCCACATCCCCAGCCCCAATTATCAGCTTTAATAGATCAATGTTTTGAAGAGAAGGGGATGGAATACAGAAAAAAAAAAATAATATTGTGTTTCTTTTTGGGACTCTGTATAATCTTAAAAGAAATCATGGGAAATGAGAAAATTTATTTCGAACTATAAGAACTGTTGTACTTCTGTCATGAGTAAGGTCTGTTTCAGCCTCCCATCTGCCTATCTTATTGTGAGGAGGCATTGGCATAAAATAAAACTAGAGGGAGATAAATAAGTCATCTTAGGCAAGTCAGATAAGTAGCAGTGATCTTTGTAACTCAGTAGTATGAGGTCTGAGGAGATCCATGTTCACTGGTTCCCATGCTATCTGCTTACTAAAAACAAATCTTATGTGTTTTTCAAAATATGTTCTGTGAGATATTAGTTTCTTGAGAATATTTGCAAAAAGCATTTCTTTGAACAAGTAAATTTGAGTGATGCTTCATATTATTCCCTTTCTAAGACTTCCACAAGTGCACATTAGTCCATGAAAGGCTTTCAGAAGTTCAGAGAGTTCAGAAATGTGTATGTGACATGTTTAATCCTGGTTTTTCCAAATTATCTTGATGATGTGAATTTTTTTTCCCTTAGATTTTATATTCCCCTCAACATTCCAAAGAATACATTTTGGGGGAACTCTATTGTAAATTAGTTTATTTTCAAGGTTATAGAGTTTATCTGAATTTAGTAGAATATATAGTAATATAGAGGGAATAGGTTTTTTTTTTTTCTCAAAGGGAGAAAGCATTTAATTCTGCAAACTAAAGTAATTCATTAGCATTTTATGGAAGTACATGGAAGAAAATGTTCTAATTCATGGATGTCAGCTTTAGTCTGTTAAAAGTTAAGGCTGGACTACAAGAGATCGCTAATGTCTCTTCCAGTTCTAATATGGAAAAAATTGTAATGTGGTTGAATGAATATAATGTCATTTCTAAAATGTTAAATAGTTTTTTTTAATTGTTAGTTTTTCAATTGTGTGAAGAAAGAGCCTGTTTTTAAATTTTAGCCTCTGCATTCTCTTAAAAAAGAGCTATCATTGTTTTAGAGAGGCTGAAAGTGTTTTACATACATTATATCAGAATAAGATTTTTGATTATATTTCTGTGATTGCTAGGGATGCTGAACATGTTTTAATATATTTGTTGGCCATTTGTATTTCTTCTTTGGAAAAGTGTTTAATTCTTCTTCCCATTTATTAATTGGGTTATTTGGTTTTTATTTGTTTTTGGCATTATGTTTTTTGAATTCTTTATATATTCAGCATATTAATCCCCTGTTGGAGGGGCAGCTGACAAAGATCTTTTCCTGTTCTGTAGGCTCTCTCTTCATGCTCTTAATTGTTTCCGTTGCTGTGCAGAAGCTTTTTAATTTGATGTCATTGCACTTATTGATCCTTGGTTTTAGTGGCTTTGCCAATATGTCAGATGTTGAACCTGTGTTTTCTTCTAGAGGTTTCAGTTTCTTGTCCAATTCCCGGGTCTTTGATCTGTTTTGAATTGACTTTTGTGCAGAGTGAAAGGTAGGGATCTAGTTTCCTTCATCCACATATGGATACCCAGCACCTTTTGTTAAAAAGGTTTTCTTTTCTTCAGTGTATGTTTTTGGCACCTTTGTCAGTCAGGGAAATGCAAATCCAAATTTCATTGAGATTTCATCTCATTCTAATTAGAATAGCAATCATCAAGAATACAAATAATAAATGCAGGTGAGGATGTGGGGGAAAAGATAAACTCATACATTGTTGGTGGGACAGCAAATCAGTACAACCACTCTAGAAAAAAGTATGACGATTCCTCCAGAGACCAGGAATAGAATAACTGTATGACCCAGCTATCCCACTCCTTTGTGTTTATTCAAAAGAGCTAAAATCAGCATAATATAGTGATACAGGCACATACATGTTTATAGTAGCTCAGTTTACAATAGCCAAGTTAGGGAATCAGTCCAGGTGATAAATGGATAAAGAAAATTTGGTACATATTGGAGTTTTACTTGGCCATAAAGAAGAAAGAAAATTTGACATTTATTGGTAAGTGGATGGAACTAGAGAATATAAGGGTTAGTGAAATAAGTCAGACTCAAAGTCAAGGGTTGAATGTTTTTCCTTATATACAGAAACTAGACCTAACTAAGGGGGGAAAGGGATGATAATAAAAGAGATAAAACAAGTCATCTCAGTAAGTCAGATAAGTGGCAGTGATCTTTGTCTATGTCAGTAGCATGACATAAAGTTCAGAAAAATAGAAAATAGAAGGGAGATCAGTGAAAGCAAAGGAAGGGGAATGAGAAGGGAGAGGAAAGTGTGTGTAGGAGGGAATCCCAGGAAAATAGAAGGAAGATCACTGTAGCAGAGGAGGGGGAATAAAGGAGAGGAAGAACGTGAAAAAAAAGAGGAAATGCCAGATGACACTGACCACATTATGCTGTGTACATGTATACCACAATGAATTTCACCTTTATGTATATTCGTAAAACACTAATTAAAATTTTAAGAAAACTATACATAAACAGAAGTAAGACCTATAATAGAGTAGAGAAAAAGAAACAGAGGGAAGGAGAAGGGAAGGCAAAGGGGAAGTACTGGGCGACTGAAGTGGAACAAATTAGATTCCATACATATATGACTATGTCAACATGAACCCCATTGTTCTGTGGAAAAAATAATGCACTAACAAAAAATAGCCAAAATGGAATATTCTATTTAAACACAAGAATTTAAAATAACAGAAAATTAAATAAGATAGAATCTTAGATTTCTTTCAGGTAAAAGCAGTTTGGAAAAAGGCAGCCTCAGGTTGGCACGGCAGCTCCACAAATTGTCAGGCATCCAGGCATCCTATTGTTATTGATCTGCTGTCCTTAGGGTATGGCCCTCATCCTTCTGGTTAAAATAAACAGTATGGAAGAAGGAAGAAAAGGGATGCCCCATTCTTTTGAATACATGTCATTGGGCAGAACGGTGTTACATGGAACCCATAGCTACCTTGGAAGTAGGAAATGCGTAATCTTTTGTCTGGACAACTGTGAGCTCAGCAAAAACAAGGGCTCCTTTACAAAAGAATATGGATCTTGGTAATTGCTGTTGGAAATTGTAAATTCTCTTGATTTTCCTCTTTTGTGCTTTTCTTTCATCATTGGTATCTTCTGTAACTGATACAGGGGAGTTGGGGAGATAGCAGTACTCAGATATTTCAGTCTTACTGTTTAAGGTGAGCAGCAGTAGGTTTGATGAGTGTTGAAGTTCAAATGAGAGTTTTTATAGTCTCGGTTTCCACCATGCCCTTTTCTTCTAGCTCCTTTGTTTTTAGTTCTCTTACATATGTAGAATGTCATCCTTTTATACACATGGTATTTGTTTTATTTTTTCTTCTTTCTTGTCATTGTTTTTTTTTTTTTTTTTGGCTTCTTTTTCAGATGGATATAGATGAAGACACTGCTGAAAGGTTTTACCAAAACTTATTGGAACTGGAAAAGCGTGTTAGGGTCAACACCACTCAAAAATCAGATCACCAGAGCTGACAGTGATACTCTCTGGAACATTGCCTACCTTCTGTGCATTCTGGGAGACATGGCTTTCCATTGAGCTGGGTGGTATGCATTTGTATGAACTGTGAACTCTGATTATCTCTTTCCTTTCCTTTCAGAATTATCTCCAAGACTGTTTCTGTGTACATATGTGTGTGTACATAAGATTGGTAAAGTAAACATATCAATTAGATATTTTCTAGAATGGTGCCACATCAAAATTACTAAAATAACCTAATATATCTGTATTATCCTTCCAAGTGGAAACAAGTGATAAGGAATGGACTTGAATAATTTTGACACAGACACATCTTGGACTTGCTTTTGGTTTATTACCAGCAAAAGGAGGCACTGTCTACTCTCTTGAGTGGCAGTTTTCATTATGAACAATTTTTTCTAGGGTCCGGTGCTTTATTTCCTTCATATACTGCTTCTAATGATCCTAACCTAAGATTATTAGAATCCAAACAATTCTACTATGGATGTCCATGTAGTTAATCTCAGGAATAAAAATATTTATGTGTTTGGGTCACTTGAATTATTTCTTTTATTTTAAAAATGTCTTTTATGATATTGGGTTAGTTCATGGTAAAAGTGGGCTTGATCCTTAACCCCATTTGTAGATTTGCTTATTAGGGACCAACTCATTTTCATAATCATATTTTGACAGATATAAACTTACTGCAAAATTATTTACCCATGTTAAATTTTAGTAACATTTTCTGATTAAACAAGTTGCTAATAGAATATCTACTGGTATGAGGTTCACTGTAGTAATGGAGGAAAGTGGTTAATTTACATGTGCCACATAACTAAGCAAAATTTTTTCTTTATTAATCTTAAAAGGGCCACACCGGAGTCCTCATTTGATATGAAACAAATTGCTAAAATATCTAGATGTTTTTTATTATACATATAACTAACATAACACTGGGGATATGACAAAGTCAGTACAATTTTGAGTAAATAAAGTGAAAAATGATACACAAATATAATTTCCCCACAAAGTGTGAAAACATTTTTTGATTACAGTGCCTGTAAGTTTGTTGTTTGTTTATTTATTTATTTTTGTGCTGGGAATTGAATACAGAGGTGTTCTACCATTGAGCTACATCCCTATCCCTTTTTATGTTCTACTTTGAGGCAAGGTCTAAGTTACCCAGGCTGACCTTGAACTCATGATCTTTCTGCCTCCCAAATCATTGGAATTACCAGAGTGAGCCACCACACCTGACTGTTAAAAGATTTTTATTTTTTAAATTTTGTTTTGTCAGCAGCACATATTTATTATTCATGAGTGGTCAAAGAATTATGAGATCTATTATTATTATAACCACACATATGAAATGTTATTTAGCAACATGGGATGAAAAGAATAGTTCTATATTTATATTTAAAAATACACATACATACTCTTTCAAATGTTCACCATCACTGCTAGGAAAGCAGGAGGCATCAAACTGCAGAAGTTCCCATATACATAACATATTGAAGTATCTCAAGCATAAAAACTGTACTTAAGTTGCAAAAATAAAGTTTCTTTCTTCAAATATTTTGATCTTCGCTCAAGCAAAGCACAAAATGAACACCAATGATTTTTGTATGACTTCACACTTTAATCAACATACAAGTCAACAGCTTAAAAAAAAAAACAAACCTGAAAATACAGAACTCGTAGAAATGAACAATGCATTTCATACAAAATAAGTCTACAGCAGGTCTGATTCATCCTGGCTCTAAATATTTAAGAATTATAATTTTATTTCAAACTGCAAATTCAGCCAGAACAAATATGATAAAAATCATCACTAAATAAAGCATCATTGCCCTGTAGTTTCTTTAGACAATTTCACTAGTGTAAGAATATCATTTACCTGAAAGATTTTGAGTCACAATTAAAGAGTACCCATACATAACTATTTCCTTTTTTCTTTAAAAAGTGCCACAAAATATATACTTTTCATTAAAAAAAATAATAATAAACTAGTGAAAGACTGTCTCCTTCTCTTGTCAATGAGGAAAGGCCAGAGTGATTCCTTGATTCCAATTTGAAATGGTGTTAGCTGGCCAATGCCCAAGGTCTCCAATTTGGAGCAGTCAAGCTGAGCATTATGTGGACATTGTGCTCCTATGACTGGGCTGTCAGTGATAGGTCTTAAGTGACTCCTGGGGAAGTTGAAGGCATCTTCAATGCACATGCCATTTCATACTTGGTCATCGGTTCATTACCAGACCAATGAAAGGTTCCCTTAATTAATGGGTACAGCATTCTCTTCTCTGCCAGCTGCCAACACACTGTAGCCACATCTTTGACATGTGTGGGAAACCTCTGATGCCAGTGGTCCATGTTTGCTGACTTGTTGCTGAACTGCACTTTGTCAAACATGACCGTCACAGCGCTTTCTTCAAGCTTTTCAACTTCTCCATACAGAACAGGAATTCTCAAAACGGCAGCTTCCAAGTTATTCTTCAGGACTGCCTTTTCTCCTAATTTTGTTTTACCTTACAAATTTAGGGGACTTGGTATGTCTTCCTCACTGTAATGTGGATCCCTTCCATCAAATAGATAATCTGAGCTAATATAAATGAGAAATGCTCCAATTGCAGCTGCTTCCTTAGCTAAATTCCCAGAAGCATCCACATTAAATTGAGAAGCAGCATCTGGCTGATTCTCTACAACATCTGGTCTTCTCTGCTGCACAATGTGCCAAAGCCAATGTCTCGGCTTGGCACCAGAATCACGAGCCACCACACGCCTTTGTAGGTTCAAACAGCAATTCTTTATTCCAGCTCTCACACCGCCTCCACACAGGTCCAGGGGCAATCGCGTTCTGCCGTCTCCCGCACAATTCACCTACCCCACGAGGCTATCTCCAAACCCCATTTTAATCTCCCGAGAACTCAACGGGAACAAGCAACAGGAACACCCTAATCCCAGCAATAATCTTCAATCTCCAACTTCCCTAAAACCCATTATCTTAAACTGGCAACGCCTTAAACTCAAGGAGCCGGTTACTTCCTCAAACCTGATCAGCTCTAAACCCGGATCCGCCTTGGTCCTTGAGCAAGGTCACCTTATTAAAGCATGCATGCAATGTCCCATCGAATGTCCTCTAAGCAGCATGGGGTACGCTTGGCAAGGAAATTTCGATGCGTCATTCCTACTTGGTAATGGCCCTCAGCAACAATGTACTATGACATGAGGCTGAAATTCATGAATGATGTGATGAACTGCATTAGAATTCAACAGATTATTAACCTGTCCAAATTAACCTCTTCTAAAACCACAACCAACAGCATACCAGTTATTCTGCTGAGATTCTTTGTATACAGCTCTGCCAAGGAGTCCAATGGCATCAGTAATTAGAGCCCGCCTTCTGGGGATGTTTACTTTCTCCTAACCCACCATGCACAACGGAGCAGCTGCCACCTCCCCAAGCGTGCTGTATCCCACTGACACCCTCTGTCTTTGTGAGAGAAAGTGAAGCTGAAATCAGAACTGTTTTCCACTCTCTGTTGGCTCACATTGTCAATTTGGAAGAAGTGCCTCATTTGTTGTAAATGTCCAGTTCTTAATCTGTAAAGTGGAGTAAATATCTGTCTGCTTCTGCTCATGGGTATGGTGAGAGGAGGAGGAGTTAATGCAATAATATATGTAAATGAATGAAGTATTTTTTTTTTGAGAATGATGATTTTTATTAGTAATCAATAAGTTGGAATTTCATGGCTCAGTTGCTGCAGAGTGAAGTACTGAGTGACCACTGCCTGACTGGGAGTTGGTTCTGTTTCCTGAGCATTGCCAGAAGGCAACATTTAGTCAAAGGGGAAAGGTGTGAGGGAGGAATTCAGGCCCTGGGGCAGACACAGGATCAAATTTGGCTTTAGCCAATTAACTAAAGGTGACTTTGGGAAAGTCACTTCAGTTTTTACATCAATGTAATTATAAAAAATGTTGATTTTTTTTTTATAATTAGAGAACTACTGTTTAATTCTGATCTGTATTAAGTGTCCAAAAGGAAACTTCAAATACATACTAAATCCTGATTTCATATAATTTCTAATGTTCAGTATGTTGATGTGCAACATATTTTCTGTCACTTTATGCAAATTCCTCAAAATAGAGAACAAATCATAGTATCCATCCTGACTCTTGTAAGTAGCATACTGCAACAGTTGGTTCCTGTCAGCAAATGATCTTCAATTTTGCTGTTTTGTGTCTGAGTATGACTACCAGGTTGAAGATTCAACTACTAGGAAGTTGGGCTTTAGGAGATGTCCAATTCCTTACTTGGACTGATGCATTTATTCTGATTTCCATGATGGGTTCAGTATAAATAATTATTTCAATTGTTCCACAAATATTTATTGAGCACTGACTCTGTGGGATACTGTTGGATTCTTAGGATATAGATATTAACATGTGGATGATAGAATGAGACATTTCAAAATGCATCTCCTAAGTATTCCTGAAGGACTGAATTGAGAGTAAGTCACTTTATGAAGGGATAAAAGCTGAACATTTTTTAAAGAATTGATGGAAGTTTAAAAGTACCCCCCAAAAAATTGATGAAAGTCATGATCATCAGATTCTGGAAAAATGAAAATAAATAAAAGCCTAGATATAGTGAGACTGCTAGGAAACAAAGTAACCTGCAAAACCAATTAAAGACAATAGCTGACTATTAGGCTAACAATAGCTTTACCTAGTATTGCTTTTCAGAAGAAAACTTGAAAGTACTGAATGAAAGTAAACCCTTATAAAATGTAATTTAAGTGGAGATTGAAATAAAATTTTCAAAGGTTGATAGTTTATCTCTCCCTTACTAAGTGACTTCACTTCTTAATCTTTTGGAAGGTTACTGGATTTTATCTCTACCCTTCAACCCTTACTGAAGGAGTTTACCTCTATTTATCTCCCTCTAAGGAGGTGTACTTGAGGAAATTGAATGCTCCAAGGGAGAAGTGAGATACAAAAAGGAAGCATGAGTGAAGAAATTTGAAAACCAAGTTTCAAATACTTAGTTCATAAAATAATTAAAATGACTAGTTTCAAGAGAAAAAAGCAATGTAGAAATATGCAAAAGTTTATTCAAATTAAGAAATTCTAATTATTATTCAGATGGAAGGAATATATTAACTTAGAGATTGTAACATATTTGATATACTTATTAAATAGTTAATAGCAATCTTATGGTAGAGAAATAAAATTAGTTTCCAAACCAGCAGAAGTTTAAAAAGGAATAAAAACCCAAGTATCCTCTTTCTCTTCTTTGTATCCCAAAAAGAATGGATAGGAAGAAGAAGGAGAAGATACTCAGCAAAACAAAAAACAACAACTCCACAAACTAAATTTTGAATATAAATAGAATGAAAAAGTTAATAAAAGACAAATTGCCAGAATGGTTTTTATCTCTTTTAATAAGAAGAACTACTAAAGCCAGGAATGGTAGCAGATGCCTGTAATCCCAGTGACATGGGAGGCTGACGCAGCAGAATTGCAAGTTCAAAGCCAGCCTCTGCAACCAACCAAATTGTTAC